TGTGGTGTGTGACTCCTTAATGGTTTCTTGCACCGGGACCCTGAGGTTTCTAGTTACGCCTCTGTCTGATACTAATCAAATATGTGGTTAGTAAAGTCAGAGTGAAGTCAAAACTACTTATCTGCATACTTTCTTGAAGTTACTGTCAGCTGAGATCCGCATCACAACCAGGCAATCAACATTTTCAGAAGGAAAGAACAATGATGGCAGTTTCCATCTCTCTCTTACCACAGGTTTCCTTTCAAAATATCAGCCAGAGGCTGATAGGCCAATTAGCTAGGATTGTATTATTAGTGTGTCCCTTGTGTCCCTCAGGCAATGAGAAAGCCAGCTAGTGTGCTGGGCCACCAATAGTCAAAAATAGTTGTAGACAGGAGAACCACGCCTTTTAAGTTAATATAAAAATCAGAGAAAAATATTAATTAGCTGTAGGATCAAGACTGGACGCTTCCACTGCCTCCAAAACATAGTTTAACAATAATATTAAGCCTAGCACTCACAAGTATACATATATCCAAATAAAATCTAATATAATGCACTATAATATAATGCACTATATGTCTCCTCAGTGCTCCAAGACATGCAATACCCAGATCCAAATTGCAGATTACAGCCAAACTTCTGTACTCCTTAGCTCTGCCTTTTCAGCTAATTTTGTCCCACTTGCAGACCAGCCAACCAAGGCATACCAAGGATGGAGAATGATGGCAGCAGGTATGGAACAGCGTGTCAGTATTCAGAGCTCTTGTTAAGGCCATATATGGTCACATTTAGCCTCCCATTGGATGGAAGAAGATGTGTTTTTTTTAATCAGTATGCAGATAACAAGAGCTCTGAATGGGGGCAGACAAACCAGATTTACACTAACAATGTCATGTACATAGGAAACAGCAAGGTGGCAAGATCTGTATCTTCTGGTAAGAGGGTTATGTGTTTGCTCAGCATGAAAGGTGTGGACAAATGAAGGGGGTTATGCCAGGGCTTCAGGTGGTGGGAAGTTGTGGGAAGTATTTGATGTGGCTGGAATGGGAAACACTTTTTGGAAGTAAAAAAAGGGGCAGGACACTATGGGAACAGCAATTAATCAGTATGCAGATAACAAGAGCTCTGAATGGGGGCAGACAAACCAGATTTACACTAACAATGTCATGTACATAGGTTAGTCTGTGGGAGAAAAAAAAGGCGAACACAAGTTTTTTCTAATAAATGGCAATTGTTTATAATGCACAATGCTTTAGCAAACTAAATGTTAGGGTTTACAGATGTAATGTGAACCTTAAATTTACGTGTGGGATTTATGTTATTTACCTAATGGCACTGAACCACGTACTAAATAAGATACAATACTGACTAATATATTCGCATTACTGCAGAGTTTACTGACCTTTGAAGTAGGGCCATATTTATAAAGCACTAGAGGTAAATGAATCACTGCCACATAAAACACATGCACCAGTAGGATTGAATTGCAGTGAATGCTTGTTGAATAAGAGGTTCACTGCTTTATAAAATATACTTTATAATTGTCATACATGCACCTGAGACTGTGCTCTTACCGATGACCGTGTCCTTGGTTCTCTTTGCAAAGATAGTTGGTATATCTCTTCCTCTGATCGATATTGGTCCAGGGATACCTAAAGCATGGAAATGACAGAAAAACAGAATTAAAAAATGAAATGTGTTATTAATCATTCAAACCTTTGTTTGATGTATACAAATGAAAAGTATTAGTGAATTTCACTTATGTTCAATCAAAAGAAAAAAAAATCAGTCAAATATGATCGTGTCATATGTTTCAGCTGTTGCCAAAGAGCATTTGCCAAAGAAAAATAACAAAACAGCAGGCCTGATTAATGTGCCAGCATGGTAAGAACCAATACATTCAAAATACTTTTTTCCTCTTTTTAATTTGAGCTTCCGTGGCAAGAACAATCTGCCACAACTTTAAACTTGTCTATTAAAGAATGTTTAATTTAAAGATCAAAAACTGTTGAAAAAAGCAGTGGTCCTTCTTATTTAGATATTTAAAAAAGAAAAATCCTACCTCCATTACGTTTATAAGGATTACATTAATTGTATTTAAAGCAATTGTGATACTTTCCATACAATCTGCCCCAATGTGTTTAATTATGTTGTTTTCTAACTTGCAGTGCTGATTTATTACAACTATTAAGGAGGTAAAATAGTTGCTAGCTCCTGTGTGAATGAGATGTATTGACTTACCTGCGATAGGTAATGTGGCTCCAACTATGTTCAGTCTTTGTGTCTATCAGTTTTATCTTTCCCACAATAACGATTAGTGCCCAGAGTTGTGACTAGTATCTAGGTTAATTTTCCACAATGCAAACCCTGGAAATAGAATGTTGCGTGTCTTATGAATGTAACACATCAGATAGACATGTAAAGTTCAAGGGCCCACATTTTGGCACATCAGAACACTTGGCACCACTTCATTATTTTGGAGCGTGAACTGATACACGTGGAGATTGAATTAACATATTTGCAGCCACACTATTTCAGGTGGGACTGAGCTAATGCATACCGGTATTTCCCAATATTCATTTTCATACAAGAGCCAATACATCTCACTAAGTCCTTGTTTACACCTAGGCGTTTTGTAGCTTAAAGGGCTAATCAATACAACGCTTAACTACTTGAAGACCAGGTGTTTACACCCCCTTCCTGGCCAGGCCATTTTTCAGTGTTCAGCGCTGCAGTAATTTGACTGACGTTTTTTCCATCATGCAACGCTGTACTGAAATTAACTTTATACCATTTTTGGGGGGCAGATAGAGCTTTCGTTTGGTGGTATTTAATCACCACTGGGATTTCAATTTTTTATTATATTAAGGAAAAATTACTGAAAATGTTTACATGTTATAATACAATTATTATTACCCATTTTTTGGGTAAAATATAAAAGTTGGGGTCACGTCGGGTAAATAGATACCAAACATGTCAAGCTTTAAAGTTGCGCGCACCCATGCGGCCCGATATTAATGCGCCGGCCCGAAAGTGAAGAAATAGTCCCCTCTCTCCCCGGGCCATACCACTTTATCGGAGAGCCCGGGGGAGGCCGGGAGAGAGGGGACAGTTTGACATTATGAGGTTCCCGCAGGCTGAACCACAAATTCCCCCTCTAATTCTCTCTAATGCAGATGGGCCGGTCCACTTTTGGGTCGCGACCCACGAGTTGAGAACCACTGCCATAGGCGATGCTTTAAAAGCTTTTAAAGCACTGTTTTCGCATGTATACGCACCCGACGCATGTTTGCACGTGTGTATGTATGGTTGGGGAAATTTTTTTGGGACATCCTAAAACATTTAATGTGAAAATGGCTTAATGTAGCTTAATGTACCATAATTGCCTTGAAACGTTGCCCAACCCAAGTGTTCAGCTTACCAAACCTATCCTGGAAGTTTCATGGATTTTGGTTACCCACAGGGCAAATGTGTGACATTAAGCTTGTTTTTTGGGGAGCTTAATGTGGCTTAACGTACAAAATACAACTTAGATGTTAACCAATTTCCCCCAAACTTACCATACTACAGGATTATATCTATGCCAGCATATTCTGAAGATTTTGGGTAATTTGATAAAACATACCAAAAGTTAATCACATTAAACTATTTTATCACAATCCTAAAAACATTTAATGTGAACAGCTTAATGTAAAAAGAGCTCAATGTGTCAAAAAGTATCTAAACCTACATCAATTGCCTTGAAACTTTGCACAACCCAAGTGCCCAGCTTCCCAAACCTATCCTGGAAGTTTTTGAAGATTTGGGGTCGTTTGATAAAACATACCAAAAGTTATACACATTAAACTATTTTATTACATTCCTGGAAAACATTTAGCTTAATGTAAGAAGAGCTTAATGTACCATAATGTGCCTAAACCTCAATTAAATGCCTTGAAACTTTGCAAAACCTAGGTTACCATCTTCCCAAACCTATCCTGGAAGTTTCATGGATTTTGGTTACCCACAGGGCAAATGAGTGACATTAAGCTTGTTTTTTGGGAGCTTAATGTGGCTTAACGTACAAAAAACTACTTAGATGTTAACCAATTTCTCCCAAACTTCCCGTATCACACGACTCTATCTATGCCAACATATTCTGAAGATTTGTGGTCATTTGATAAAACATACCAAAAGTTATTCACATTAAACTATTTTATTACATTCCTGGAAAACATTTAGCTTAATGTAAGAAGAGCTTAATGTACCATATTGTGCCTAAACCTCAATAAAATGCCTTGAAACTTTGCACAACCCAAGTTCTCCGCTTCCCAACCCTATCCTGGAAGTTTCATGGATTTTGGTTACCCACAAGGCAAATGAGTGACATTAAGCTTGTTTTTTGGGACACGTAAAGGACATTTCCACCTTTTGTAAGTGATTTGAGTTTTTGATGGCAATGGGGAGGTGCAGGGGGATGTACATGTGTGTGCGCGGGGGGGAGGTGCAGGGGGGATGTACATGTGTGTGCATTCTTAGGAGTCACAGAGCTGTATTTCATACTTTATTTTATAAATTCTGTGTGGTGACACAGGTTTATACATGTGTGATGACACCAAACAATTTCCAGTGACCCCGCACATCCCCCGTGATGCCGCACATCCCCGGTGACACTGCACAGTGGGGGATCTATCGAAACTGGAGCGGGCAAAAACTGGAGCAGCTGTGCATGGGTTTGGGAAGCTGAGATCTTAGGTTGTGCAAAGTTTCAAGTCATTTGATTGAGGTTTAGGCACATGATGGTACATTTAAGCTCTTCTTACATTAAGCTAAATGTTTTCCAGGAATGTAATAAAATACTTTAATGTGAATAACTTTTGGTATGTTTTATCAAACGACCCCAAATCTTCAGAATATTTTGGCATAGAGTCGAGTGGTATTGGAAGTTTGGAGGAAATTGGTTAACATCTAAGTTGTTTTTTGTACGTTAAGCCACATTAAGCTCCCCAAAAAAGCAGCTTAATGTCACTCATTTGCCCTGTGGGTAACCAAAATCCATTAAACTTCTGGGATAGGTTTGGGAAGCTAAGCACTTGGGTTGTGTAAAGTTGCAAGGCATTTGATTGAGGTTTAGATACTTTTTTTTACACATTAAGCTCTTTTTACATTAAGCTGTTCACATTAAATGTTTTAGGATTGTAATAAAATAGTTTAATGTGAATAACTTTTGGTATGTTTTATCAAATTACCCCAAATCTTCAGAATATGCTGGCATAGATAGAGTCTTGTAGTATGGTAAGTTTGGGGGAAATTGGTTTACATTAAGCCACATTAAGCTCCCAAAAAAACAAGCTTAATGTCACTCATTTGCTTGTGGGTAACCAAAATCCATGAAACTTTCAGGATAGGTTTGGGAAGCTGAGCACTTGGGATGTGCAATGTGCAATTGATTTATTTTTAGCACATTATGGTACATTAACCCCTTCATGACTGAGCTTGTTTTTAGTTTCTGTTCGTAAATGACTGACACACTTTTGACATTTTTGCTGTGTGATTCTTCCACGTCGGTAATATACTTTCTTACAAATTGCACCCACACATATTATATATTGTTTTTTAGAGGACAGATAGGGCTACATATTTGTATCACATATGTGTGTCTAACGCCTCACTTAGGACAAATAAAATATAAAAAAAGAGAAAAAAAACGTTAAAAAAACAGTTTTGATTTGTAGTATTTTTTTACAACACCAGCACAGCTAAAAAAATGCAATAAATACATTCATTTATTTGTCCCTTATTTTATTTTTTTTACACATTTTTTTTTCACTTTTTTTTAAACTTAAAAATTGTATTTTATTTATTTAATTATATCAAGCAGTCATTGTAAATTAATCTCACTGTTACTGCTTGATAAATTAAAAAATTTTTGGTTATTATCAGGCTGCTTCAAACTTCAGAACAGCCGATAATAAGTTAGTGACACTGATCCTGCAGCAGTTCAGGATTCAGCTGTTACTAAAGGTTTTCTGATTGTTGCAACAACGATCAGCAAACTGAAACATTCTTCTTCCAGGAATAGATACATTATAGGAATAGACACATTATGTATCTATTCATGAAAGAAAAAAAGAAAAAAAAGCCAGTATAGCTTGAGAGAGATATCTCTCTCGATCTATACGAGCTGTCAGAATGCCGGCAAAAGCCGGCATGTGTGTCCCTCTGCTTTGACTCTCAGACACCCGATATTAAGGTATCGGGTGTCTGAAAAAGGTTAACCCTTTCATTAATGAATGCCTCTGTAGTAAGGGCAGCCATTAATGAATGTTAAAAGCTGATTCTCAGCGTTTAACAGCCCTCTAAAGAAGCAAATAACTCGTCACGTACAGTGTACGTGACAAGTCATTTGGTCCCTTTGTGGCTGGACGTACAGTGTAGTCTCCCGTCACGAAGGGGTTAAGCTACATTAAGCCATTTTCACATTAAATGTTTTAGGGTGTCCCATTTTTTTGTGTTTTCTTAATTCTTTTTCATGTGTGACTTTAAATTTTTTTTTTTTGCAACTTTTTTTCCCCACTTATTTTATTGTTATCACATAGGGGGCTAAGAAACCCCCCTATGTGATAGCAAAGAGATGTGACAGGTCTTCTTTATGGAGACATCAGGTTCTCCA